ATGTCGTATACTCATTGTTGTAATACTGCCCCTTAAGCTTCCTGAGATGCATCAGTGCAGAGAATGTGTGCTGTAGAGGCAGACTTTAAGTGATGCGACATAGAAGTATTTGATATCATAGACTTTACTTTATCAAAAGCATCTAGAGGTCAAATGAAGAGTTTGTCTCTTTTTAGTTTGTTCCTTTGTTATCTTATTTCAAAAGATCTGTTAGAGATTCTAATGTTGCTGAGCGATTAGGTAAGAAACGACGGCAAACATTGCACATACCAAGAAATCAACATAGTGAACTTAATGAATTCGGCTCTGTGCAATTGATAGTAGCTTCTACATATTCGTGTAGTGGTTTGATGCCTTGTGAGTCGATGTGATGTCCCAAAAACTCTAAGGCTGGAACGCCGAATATGGACTTTGAAGAGTTAATTACGACATAATAGCTTTTGAAACGGTCAAAAAGGATGTGTAAATGTTGTATGTACTCTTCTGTGGATACTTTGACGACCAAAACATCGTCGATATATATAAAAACAAAATAAAAACCTTTTATAACTTCGTCCATGAATGACTGGAAAGTCTGAGCAGCATTCTTTAGTCCGGATGGCATCTTCAAGTATTCAAACAAACCAAAAGGTGTGATAATGACTGTTTTTTTTAATATCTCCTGGTGCCATCGGAATTCGGTGGTATGCTCATACGCAGTCTAGTTTCGAAAAAACCTACTTTCCATGTAAGTTCAAAGAAAAGTCATGTAGGTGAGAGATTGCATACCTGTATGGGGCAGTTTAACTATTTAAATGACGATAGCATAAACATTGGCGCCAGTTCTGATCTTTCTTCAGAACCATTTGTAAGGCTGAAGCCCATGGGCTACTTGATTGTCGAATGATGCGAAGTCGCATCATATGTTCAAACTCCCCCTTCACGGTCTTCAATTTGTCTAATGGTAGTCTTCGAGACTTGGCACAAATCGGTGGACCTGTGGCTGTTATGTGATGAACGTGGTGTAAGGTGCATCCATTTTGGTAATCAACCCCGGTGACGCATTCATAAAGGGCGGTCTGCTTGAGAATCTGGGCTACCTGTTCTTGCCATCTAGATATTTCAACAAGTTATCTATTTTTGTTTGTTTTAATATATCATTATGTTTATTAATCGCATGACCCATTCTGCTGCGTTTCTGAAAAGTGTACAACCTTTCGTTGTCAAAGTTACAAAAAACTCAATAAGAGACAATGTGGTTGCTGGCAATATACAGCGAAAAGAATGCGCATTATCCAGGTGTTCGTTTACTGAACTGCTAACATCTAACTGGCGATCACTCAATATTTATCGCCAGGACCGACCAAGAAGAAAGAAACGGAAACTTGTTGAAATACTTTACAATTAGGATCCTATATTGTACCAAAAATATAATGTTGAATAGAACTGATGATAATAATAATACTTGGAAAGTACGTCAGTGAAAATCTTATTGATTGGCTTTACCATCCGGACACCATGAATTTCTCAGTTAGTGTTAGTTGTACCATTCAAATGCAGACGGGTATTTCCGTCAGCCAGTTTCTTTCCATTCATGCTCACTAACAGTTCATAAGCACTGAAAACGTCGGCTCCACAAATAGTTTGTTTGACTCGGGCAACCGAAAAGCCACTAGAAGCGCCGTCGGAGTCCGAGGTCTAAAATTAAGGATTGCTCTTCATAGGTCTCGACAACTGTTTCGTTCGTGTACAGCGCCGTGCCTGTGTACCATGTTTCTGTTGATATCAACAGACTCCTGAGGTCTGCTTAGGTGATCAAAGCTGCCTCGAAATTGGTTTCTGTCTGGACGATGATCTAAGTCGTCTGGAGTGAACCGTGAGGTTAGACCAGTTGGATAACGTGGTAAGGGCGTTTACAGGGGGACCTTTAATGTCATTAAGGTTATTAGGAGAGTAGATTATATGCAAAATAAACTAGCGAGTCATGTAAAATAAACAATATAACAGAATAAACACCGGGCTCTTCGGATAATTGCGGTGGACGAAAATTATTATGTCCAAAAATTAATGTATTAATATACTAAATATAATTTATAAACACAAGGAAAAGTTGCGGACGTTACCTAAATTGACAGGCTCTTGCGTGTCCATCTGCATTTGGTGTGATAATCCACAATTTTGGGTGATTCATAATTCCAATAAAGGTTGTTGAAATTCCAGCGGTATAGTCAGGTGGGATATTTAATGGAAATATGACTGTGGTCTATAAATGTGGATAACAAATATCTTTAGAGTTCAGTTATCGTAACAACAGGCATTTGAGAACGTGAGATGTGTATTTGTGAGTGGTTATCAGTGTGTCGTGCTATGAAGGATCCAAAACGGAAAAGAAACTACTCAAGGCCATGCAATTTTAAACAACTTTTAGGATCATTTGTAGTAAATGTACAAACTATGAGAATTACCAAAAGAAATGCAAATAATATCACAAACTATTTACAAAATAAGTTTATAGTGGCTTCCTCCCTAACTGTAAATCTCAAGCTTAGATATAGAAGATGTGTTGGGTGTTGTTTAGGAGCTCTGTTTTGTCGGAAACAAGGTTACGTAAAAGACGCTTAGCAAAAGTTTATTTATTGCATTCAAACTCTGCCATGATTGTTGTTGATTTACAACTTGGAAGTCTACTGATCCCTGTGCATGAACGTCCTTGACCGTGAGAAGTTATTCGATACCATGTGTTGACTATTCTCACAGAAACGTCTTCGACGCGAAGTTGTATTTGGGAACATCGTCATTACATCACGGGATTCATACTGCAGTTCGGGATTCTGGACATAAGCTAGCTGGCTGATGCATTCTAAGTGAGGTTCGGAGCTAGACAGTGTCGCTTAGTCTCTTACTTCTGGTAGTTGAACGGATTATGAACTCCTCCACATCAGAGGGGGAAGCACAGAATACAATAGACAGGTTGGACGCAATTAGACTATTCGGACTTTAAGTATGACGTAGACGTTCCATCCATTCACAGAAACAATTGCAAATTAAGATAGTCATTCCAGCATTAGCATCTACTTAAGTCTGTATTATTGAACAGATGCTCATAGTTTTTATCACTCGGAGTGTTGCTTGATTATATTACCGATAATTGCATTTCAGAGATTAATGGTGAAGATGTCAAAAATCAGGAAATGAGTGATAACATGGGAGTAAAAATAAAGGCAGCGAATAATGTAGTCGTAAGCAAGCTCAAAAAGTCAACGGAAAAATTCCTGAAAAAACTTGACGTTATTAAAAGCATTTCCTTCTCTTTTCTAATTGATTGGAATATGGAGCGTTCAGAACTAATAAACCTGATTTTATTCGAAATGCAAGATCTTGGGATAGCCAAATCCGTTTTCTCTCATTCTCTACTGAGAAGTGCAGTTGGAGTTCCAAGATATATAATAATTATATTCTGAAAAATAATAATAATGATCATGTTCTTTACACAGGTAGGTAATAAAACCGAAAATATCAGAATCTTATGATTAGTGCCTAATAAAATGTTTGAGGCGTTCAAAAAAATTATCAAAAAGGATACCAGTCCGAATATGGTTCTACCGATCTGATCACTTAACGATCTTACAAACAAAGAAACTGCACTTTCTTCGATAAAACGTTGATTAGAGGACCAGAATAAACTATATTCTGGGTTTTTTGGAAGCAGAACCAAAGTCATGATCCTAACCTTTTATATTTCTTACAACGGAAATATGATTCATCGCGGATGTGGATGCAAACCAAACCATGAGAGATTATATCCGAGCTTCAAGATCACTTGCTTTTTTCATGTAGTTTGTTGAGTCAACTCAATGGGTTACATTTGAGAACATCAGTTATAAATTACAATCGAATAAAAACTAAGTGACCAAATGGGTAATGTACTGTCTTCTTGGTCACGCAGCAGAACGTGCTAGACCTTGAATATAGTGCTAAGTTCAAGCATCTAGTTCATATCTCGTTCAGGGCAAATACAATTTTAACAGTGACTAAACAGAAGACACCAAGTTTCTGATTAGACTTGTGGTGGACCAGACAATATATGAACTCAAAAATGATAACAGAGTTATGTGGTAGGCGTTGGAATCACATTTGTTTAAGTAAGGCTTCGTCTAATTTGTAGGAAACCGCTCACTGTTTCATGTGTCGTAGCAACTGTGACGGTCTCTTGTCCGAAAGTTCACATGATGTGAGTAGTTGCTGTAATCGTTTCTCGTCAGAAAGTGATGTACTCTGGATCAATGCAGCTTTAATCTTGTCATAAGTATAAGTTTCTGGCACATGATCGATCAAGTCACCGACTTCCGCAGCTATTTCAATGGGCAGTGCACCGACAACATAGGCATATTTGGTCGCCTGGGAGCGTATGCATCTCGCTAAAAATAAAGCTTCTGCTTGTGCGAACCAAATCCTGGGGTTGTTAGCACTGTATGTTGGTAGTCTGAATTCGGAAATAGCATTGACTGAACTTAAAATATTATCATCTGACTGTGATTAATTGAGGGGATTCACTGTGGGACAATCTATATCGATAAGCTTATTCGAAGAGTACATGATGGGAAAAACAAAATAAATACAAATAACATCAAAAACTATTTACGAAATAAGCTTGTCAGGCATATCTCCACAGACCTCCCTATATTCCGTGTACTCTGTCTGAAACGTTGAGAGCATTTTCCTAATCACAGAATGCAACGTGGTCTTAAATTAAGGTTTTGCGTGCTGAATAACTGTTTGAGTGAAAACATGTCACATTCGTCTACTCTTATTACTTCCAAAATCACTTAAAATTTTTAAAACCTATGCAGACCAAATTGTGTCAGTTTCCGTCTTCACATGGAGATCAAACACCTGAAAGCTGGGAAAATGGTGTCAGCCTCATCATTTAACACATTTAGGAATAAAATAAACTGTGTATTTATAAAATGCAAGGATTAAGAAAAGTAATATGAGTGATTTTGAAATGATTTCCCGACCTTGGGATCTAGAAGCGGTGCTTTAGTGTTTAACGTTACCGTCATGGTGTTAGACTTGGATCTTTTCAGAGTCGATAAAGGAGGTGACCCTGAAGTTATTCGTTCCAATGAGATAAAAAGATTCAGAGGTACCAAACGTGTCGATTTGGTACTAGAGGCAGATGAGAATTGGCGGAAAGGTAGACTGTAAATGGTTACTCAAACTTCGTAGCACGTTTCAGAGCTGATCACTTAAATAAAGTAAAAAACTTCTGCAGCAAAGCCATTGCTAGGAAGATTAAAGTAAATTCTGACTGCTGTGATTCTGACTTTTAGGAAAACAAAGACAGTCCGGATTTTGAGTCTAATTTGTTTGATGTTGTATTCGATCGCCTCGACTCACTTGTGGAAGCTGATTTACAGGTAGGACTGTTGCTCGTCACTATGTTTTAGTCCTTGAGTGTAGCACAGTTAAAGTCGTTGTCCTGTCTCATTGACGAAGAAATAAAGAGAAATGCGGCTATTGTAACTGAGTTCGAGTCTGTAAGACAGCAGCAATTGTATGAGATTGGTAATCTCCTACACCCAGATGTACCGATAAGCAACAATGAGGTATGTTTTACTTGGATGCGATTGTTCGAAAAATGTTAGTCTTTTTCTGATAGTGTTTAAAAGTACTTTTCCATGCTCCTTTCCAGTATGGCAGTGTTGAGACCGTGATAATGTCCGTAATTGAGGGCATTTCATCTAAATTTTCGTTGCTGACCCACTCAAAACAAAAATTTAATATCCATTTGCCAGTCCCATGTTTCATGTGATAAGAACTAAAGTTAGTGTGCCAGTCCTAATGTGTTTATTTATTGTTTAGATATAATCCATAGCTAACAAATCATAATTTAACATATTCTATCTCCAAAGGTTTAATTTCGAGCTGTGATACCAGCCGTCTGGTACTGAATTGATAGTATTGCGTAGTATTTCAACGTTGCTTAAGTCAGTTGGTCATCAATAGCGTAGGACTTGGCATGGCTGTACATTTTTCCATTGGCTTATTGTTGTTATCCCTCAATTTACCATATAAAACGTACACATTTTTTTGTCAGAATTGCTAGAAAGATAGTGCGTGACAATCAGTGATTGGTAAAAGGCTTCCATATATAGTCATTGTTGTTTCACAATTCATGATACTGATATGGTGTCGGCAATTTATTCATGTTGTTAAGATATGAAGCACTTAAATGGCTACTCGAAAGTAAATATGACAATATGTGGTTATACGGTAGTTCCTACGCAAGTTGAAAAGGTTTCCGTGAGAATTATTCGGTGAAATCAAGCATAGGTCTCTGGGAGCTTATTGACTTCACACGATTTCCAGTATACTGGTGTGTATTATATATATTTCTTTCGGACTAGTCTTATTCCGAGAATCCTTTAGCAATGATGTAATTAGAAACTTGGTAATACATTTTAGTCCTTTTACTCTATCAAGTTCACTTTTCTAATTAGTTTGTATAAACTATCCAGTAATCTGAAGTAGTTGATTGATCCCAATAGCATCAACATCATCCCCTCTACTTAAATACGAACTATGAATGTTATAAGAACTACACTTATTTTTTCACGAATATTATTTCATATCAAATTATCTCTACACGTTTTTATTGTCGTCTTGTTTTATTCGTTACCTTCGACGTAGTCCACTCTGTTCTACTTTGTTGCTGCCAAACATTATCTTTGAAAATAGAAGTCGTGCACAGGTTGAAGGTTTCTGACCACAGATATCTATGAAGCGTTACTCGCGTTTCATACAACCACCTAGTGAGCAATGTTGATGTTGAGCATATTGTATTTGGTAAAGGTTGCGTTCGCAAATAAATTCCGTTCATTAGCTGAAGACCTTACGGGGCACTGCCCGAAATCGGTATCATAGTGCAGTAGTATTCATAAATCCTTTCCTTATGTCGTGGGTTTCAATATTCATTCTCTCTATCCACTTTTCATTTTGAAGCATTTTCTTTACATTTGATTCTTCGCTTTCATGTATACTATTTCTATATCTATCCCTTTTAATTTTACCTTTATATGTTCTCCCGTACTGACGTGAGGTGTGTTAAATTGATCTATTGCACATTTGTGCTCGGTCTATGAAAAACTGGCTCTATCAGCTTAACTGCACAATTATTGCCTCGTTACGATATTGTGTAAATGTACGTGGTTGATGGTATTTTTCACTACTAGTGGTTCATTCGACGCTCGTTTGAAATATTTGTTTTATGCATATATTCGTTTAACTAGGAAGACAATTTGGTTATTCGAACTTTCGGAAAAAGCGATTTTCGAAAACCTTTATCTCATGTCGATTTAGTGACGATGGTAGATGGTTTTGACGGTGAACGTGGAAGTACAGTAGCTGGAGGTCGTGGATATTTCCTAAAGGTTAGTACGTATATGCGATTTTCTAAATCTTTCTAGCATTGAGTTGCCCGTTATTGATACCGCACTAAATGGTTTTAACCTGTCGGGTGTTTTTCTACCTGAAAGGTCTTACTAATAAGTCATCTATTCTTTGTTGTTGTTTACACCAGTCTCATATGGTTATCTAATAACGCACATAATCCCAAAATTTGGACGAGATATTGAACTATATAAAATTACCATATACAAATTTGTGAGTGTTCCGAGGTTTTTTCACTCAAAATTAGTACTCAAGGATACACAAACAAAAATAAATAGGCGCCAAATATTGAATTTTATTTTTGACCTTAGAGTCCATTTCCTCATTGGTTGTGCTTTATTCCATAATGAAGACTAGTTTTTGAAGTTATACCTTTGTCGTTTTTAGTTTTTAAACTTCAGATTCAGGAAAGTTATATTCCACAAGCAGCCAGAAGCACGAGCAACAACAACCACACACCTTAAGCGTATATATACAGTATAAAAATGTCCTTGCGAAACGTCACAAAATAGCACATTAAAAGAGGGCATGAACCAATAACATTTAAGGTCCTTCAAAGTAGGAAATACAATATAGAGGTGAAAATGGGCGCTTTTGGCGCGAAAATGAGAAATCCAAATTTTTCAAAATAAAATCACAAAAATAAGACGTCTACCAAATGTTTTTCTTAACACAAATTAAATTAGAAGTATTATGAAAACAGAGGGTTTCACAGCTTACTATGGCGTTGTGATTGTTTTTGTTTTACTCCTATTTTCCCATAGTCTTTCATCTTACAAGATATTTAACTTCACCTTTTTTACCCGGATTTATACTGACTTTTTAGTAATTACTTTATGTTTACATAAAAAATATCAACTTTTATGCTGCTCTTTTTACAGGGCCCGCTTGTTTTCCTGGAACAAGCAATCATAAACTTAGCTCTACAAATGCTAGATGAACGTGGTTATACGCCACTGTACACTCCATTTTTTATGCGCAAGGAGGTTATGCGAGCAGTTGCTCAGTTAAGTCAATTTGACGAAGAGTTATACAAAGTAAGTCTCCAGATCGCACCGTAATATGAATCTTTGTTGCTGTGTCTAACAGAATGAAAATACGTTAACTTTCATTTATCTAATCCATAGTTTTAGTTGCGTTCAATAAGTGCAATGAATCATTCTCAATTTTTTATTAAAACCCATTAAAAGTCAATACATAGATAAAATCGTCTAGTTTTTCACAATAATTTATTGTAGTTTTCTGAATTTTATACAGCTAGTTTCATTTGTTAGTCATTCTTAGCTCTATAAGAAAGCTTTATATGATACCTAAGAGTTATGTTCAATAGTCTAATCAGATTATAAACTGTTGCGAGCTGTCTTTTGACAGTAGATTAGTGATTAAATGACTCGTACTTCAGCCGTTAGGTTACGCTTTCAAGTCTAGCCCCACCTACTTTTGTTTGCATAACCTGATACTATTGATAGGTTCTACACTAACAGTGTTTATAGCTTAACGTCCACTATAATAACCGATACTTGATTGCTAAATTGTATTGATACTATTATAATCCCAGAATCCACTACTATTAATTCATTAAAAATATCAGTTGTTTTTCTTCGCTTCATGCTGTAATCCCGTAATATCATTCCATGGGTATTGAATTTATGAGTTAATGCTCACATCACCAAGTGATATGGGTGTGTAGAAATATCAAGTATAATAATTGATGATGAAACATGATAACGCATTTAAATCATACATTTCCATTTTTCCAGTTCATCTTGATGGTCCTTGGTCATGTGAGTTTTGTCTCCATCAAATATTAGTATTTAGCAGTATGATGAAGTCTGGATTATATTTTAAAGGTACTACACTGTCAGTTATTTGCCATGTGAATTTAATTTAGTGGCTTAGTGATCTGGACACATGCCATCGAGCTATTAAGTCACATGGTTTAGTTGAAATGGATTTACTGTATTTTCTATCCCATCCTGCATATATTAAATGTGGTTATTTTTCCGTATATGTAATTATTAGATCTAACTGAATTTACACTTATTTTCACTTCTCCAGGTTACTGGCCGTCGCGAACTCACTGCCACAACCAATCATGAATTACAAGCAAATGAAAATGAAGAGGAAGAGAAATATTTGATTGCAACATCCGAACAACCAATCGCTGCATTTCATCAAGATGAGTGGTTACCCATTGATCAATTACCGATTAAGTATGCAGGGATCTCGACTTGTTTCAGACAAGAAGTTGGTAGTCATGGTCGTGATACTCGTGGAATATTTCGTGTTCATCAGTTCGAAAAAGTATGTTGATTGTGTTTGAATGTAGTCATTTTATTGCGGTTAATTCACTTAGAATATTATTTAGCGTTAAAATTGATTGTTCAAGAATTAATTTTCGGTTGCAAGTTTACATACTGTCAGTCAAGTTAAACGACATTTACTAGTGTCGTATAACTGTAAATTTATTTCTGTTATCTTTCAACCATTTACTTGTAACGTTAAATTTACTGACTATTACTACCTACTTCTCAGAAATACTTCCATTCTTCTAAAGTGCAGAAAACCTCGAATTAATCTACGTGAGCTACAAATCTTCTTCAATACCAATTATAATTGATTCATTATTACTAATTTACTCGATGTCACTAGAATATGGCATTCATAACCGTGCAAAATTGACTGATTAACGTTGAACGACTCCATTTTCAAATTTTAATTTCTAGTACTATAAGACTAATCTTACAGATTGTTTATGAAGTGGAATTTTTATTGAGTTTTAAGAAAGACTAGTAGTGTCATTATATTCAGTGTAGTATACCAATCAAGTCACAAATGAAAAGGTTGCGTTGTGCCAACCAAAAATCTGATGATAAGTGCATATGATTGACCAAGAAATTGTTTTATTTTCTAAGGAGTAGACATTATATATAAATAGCATAGACTCTTTATTTTATGCCACGTGGTAAGAATTAGTTGACAACTCTGGTTTACTTAATTTACTTTGTAAATACTTGTTTTTTTTCAAATGGTAGGTTGAACAGTTTTGCATTACTAGTCCGCACGATAATCTGTCATGGGAGATGTTTGATCATATGATTTGTAACGCTGAAGCATTTCACCAGGTTAGTTTACTGTTCTATAAATAATAGATTATCATTAGTGTTATGTTACATTCATTTACTCTCCCTACTCTCGGAAATCGACATCAGCTTCTGGTAACTTTTGTTCAGAGTTTATTGTTCTAACCTTAATCTTTTCTACTCATGGAATAAAGTTGGAAGGTAAACTGATGTAAACATTCCAAATTGGTTAAACCGAGTAGACATCTTATCTCATGACTTATGAATTATTTAGTGGAAATTATAAAGAATTTTACTTCAATTTTGTTGTCTAATCTGTAAAGTTCAGTACATTGTTTGCTTATTCCGAAAAAAATTTTTGACTAGCTTTCATCCTTCGCAGCGAATATAAAAACTGTTTAAGATAATTTGACTAAAGTTCATAATTTTAAAACATTTCATTGAGTTCCTGTTTATTCCTTTTAACATCAGTCGTTCGAAGTTATGATATCAAGTAAATGGATGTGAAATAACCATTTATTTTTATCGTAAACTAAGAATGTGATTTGGTTAATGGACTTTAAAGGGGCAAGCGTAATAAATTATTTAAATAAAGTATGATGTTTGTGATATATCAAATATTTACTGATTAAAATTTTTTATCTGAGTTACCGGCTCTTATTGTCAAAAATGAAACAAATCAAGCAACAAATGAATACATTTTAATTTACACGGTGATTCTATATATTCTCCAAAAGATTCAAATCTGTCAATAAAGTTTTCTTTTTCTTGTTTACAGGCTCTGAAATTGCCTTATCGTGTTGTTTCCATTGTGTCGGGTGAACTAAACAATGCTGCATCAATGAAGTATGATTTAGAAGGTTGGTTCCCTGGGTCTGGAGCTTTTAGGGAACTTGTATCTTGTAGTAATTGTTTGGACTATCAATCTCGTCGGTTAGCAATTCGTTTCGGTCAAACAAAAAAAATGAATAAAAGTGTAAGTGGTATTTTTTTGTGTTCTTCAGGTTGCTTAATGTAGTGTTTACCTGGTTTATTATAATTATCGATGCATTTTGTGATGATTGTGTCTGTAGCAAAATCAGCCAATTGTAGTTGTCGTCATAATGAATTTAAGTTTTGTAATATTTCATTCAGTCTGTCACTTATCTTCGCACATATGTGAACTTTTTTGAGGCAAGTGAATTGCTCAATTAAAGTACATACTTGTATTTAGCTGGTAAATTATTATTATTCATTTTATTATTATTGTCTAAGTATGAAAAGTAATATCTCAATATACCGTCGAAAAGCACCTAAATTAGATAAATCATGTAAACATTAGGGGATACAATTGGAGTATGAACTCGATCAAGTTGATTGTGTTTTTGTGAATTTTCACATTTTACTGTTTGTTCAACTTTCAAAAGATAACAGCATAATGCAACTTTTACTTAAATCATTATAATTATCTTAAATTATTGCTTGGATCAGGAGTCTTTTTTTAAAATGATTATCATGCTTGTTTGAAAGTTCTCATTATTGTTTTATTCATGGACTACCTGTTGTCTACAATGACCTAGGTTGAATATGTACATATGCTCAATGCAACGATGTGTGCAACCACTCGAGTTATTTGTGCGATTCTAGAGAATTATCAAACAGAACATGGGATTATTGTACCTGATGTTTTAAAATCATTTATGCCCAAAAGTTAGTGTACTTTTTTGTTATTAATGAAAATACTTTTCAGTGGGCTATAATCCATTTTTTAAAAATTCATTCTATGCTTATGATTATGCGTTATGCATGATGGTTTCATAATGTGTTTTCTTCACTGTTTGTAAGATTTAATTCGTTCAACTCAGTAACTAAACTGTCCACTTATGTATTAGGTTTTAAGTCGCATTTTCTGAGTGTTGGTGTTACCATCAGAGTACTGGAGTCGAAGTACTCTGAAATTTTGTTTTAAATAGTTGAAAGTTGGTTACTTAAACCATTAACCCTCCACTTAGTGTTCATAGTCTTAAAATATTATCACTTCTTACTGAACATTAGTATTTTTAATAGACTATTAAATACATGGAGGTTTTCATTCATCCGAATTATTGCGATATTGTGTATGTATGAAGTGAGATGATGATGTAATTAGCCAGTTTATGCCGTTAATTTTATCAAGTTATTTCAGTCAATAATTAAATATTATCATCTCTCCATCAATCATTTTACTCACATTTAATCATATATTCTCATGTGTTTGTGCATTTGGAAGTGTCTATTATTTACTTTCTTATTGCTTGTAAATGTAACCCTAACCCATCAATATTTCGTGGTTCATACATATACACATATTCGTTCTTATGTATATTCTCTCCTGTTGCATGGTTTGGTTGATTTACGTTTGGCTGTTGAGCTGTTACGTTTTCAATGAAGTAACTTCGATCTGATTTCGTATCTGCTTTCGAACGTCTCGTGATAAAGTAAAACTAGTTATTACTTCGGGTTTTATAACCAGAGTCGTATAACACTGATTAACTAGTGGTGAGCCAACGTATGAACTTGCCACAGCCTACGACGAAACCGCCTACAAAATAATTTGTTTGTCACTAATTTGCAATCATACCTACTCACCATCAGTGCGGATCGCTATCTGTATTTAATTAGTGTATTATTACATATTTTTGTTGTAACGTGTGACTGCAGATTAGAGTGAAGCGTATTTATCGATCGATTCAATGACACGAAAAACACGTAAGGACGACCTAGAGTCCCGATTGGCCCTGCTTCGCTGTCTAGCCCAGCCAGTTGAGTCCAGAACACAAGTCTCAGCCTCTGAGTTATGAATCATTATATTTCAGACATACTCTGTTTATATACCAATCAAACAAACCACGTCGTACCATAAAATAGAAAATAATATTTGTACAATATTTAACAAGTGAAGTAAACATCGACCAATAGGAAATGTCCATTTAAAGTTCAAGGACACCATTAGACTTAACATGATAGTTATTGGTATATTTTTCTGCACATCCTAACAATTTTGCTTCATAAATACTGTGACAATATATCAGTATTAACTATCGTAACAATCGCATGAAACCGTTACTTATTACACAATAAACATACTAGTAACCTTACTCTCATTCTCAAAGCATATATTCCCTCGTATAACAATTCTGTTCTCCTCTTTAGTCCGTCGACTTTGTCAGTTAAAGTCATGTTACGTACATGGTGGATCGTTTAATATCATCTTTTGTGTGTTCTATCGGGTATTCTTGCTAGCTTGTCAGTGTCGCTGTCACTGAAATCTAGAGTCTGCTGTATAATTTGCGGCAATTCATATAACCATAATCTATCGAATAAACTACCATCTGCTTTCGTACTTCCCAGCAAACTTCATTTGTGATTACTTTGCTACGATGACTTTCTGCCTCCTATTCGTACCTGGATAATTAGTTGGTCGATAACGTCTTAGATACCGCTCTTATGACTGTCTGTTTCAAGTCATCATATGACGTTTTCATTTATAGTATGAGTACCGAATCTTGCATCCGTTCAGATGCTTCATCTGGTAAGTGTTATAACGCTCGAGTTCATTTCGTCTTTGCGAATGAAACGTCAATTTGCCTTAGACGGATATCTACACTAGATTCGCTCCCAGTGTTTATGCTAAGGAATTCAACACGACTCAGATCATGAACACGTGATTAACCTGACTAGAACGTAAAAATATATTTCCGCACCAAAAATTGTCAACAACCCGACACAATCCAACAACAATCAATAATAATAAGGATAGGAGAATATATAACTCATTTAACACCTGTCAGACCATCTACAATTCTGACCAAGCAAACAACCAATCATTATCATTCTCTCCCACACATCAGTAAGTGTGGACTAGTGATAGAACTCGTCTTATTGTCAAGTTTCACGATTGTGCATAAAATAATACTCAAGCCTAGCGAACCAAAGTTGTGATTCTGCTACTCTAAGAATAGAAATGGTAAGATTATTAGTACGCGTAAAACAGTATTGTAAGAATTATAAAAGTCTAGCTACAGACTTGATAAAAGGTGGCAAGTAATGTACAATTAATTAGGTGTGATATAAAAAAGCAGACAAATTAATCTTAGTAATAATAATGATAAATAACACAATAATATGAAATAAGACACATCCCCTGAATATGCACCAATTGATTCGAGACTTAGTAATCTAATAGCACCTGGCCTGTTGGGTAATATGTGTTGATCCAGGATCGACCTCGATTAGAATCCCTAATGCTCACTACTGACAAGTGTTAAACTTTAGTAAAACAACTATCCAGTGCTTCTCAACTTACTGTCTGTTCACGATAAAAATTACTTTCAAATCGAAATCTAAATTATGTATATTGAGTAAGCTGCTCATTATAGAACGCTATGGCACTTTCGTACTTGTTTGTGACCAGTAAATCTTACTAATGCTACTGAATACTGCATACTAATCATACAATGAATCTCATTAGGTATAGTTGATTGTCTGATAATCTAATTCATGTATTGTTATATTTCTTCTAGGTCACTGTCCGTCGGTATCGTAGTCCGAACAATCGTATTTGTCTGTATAATTCAAAGTTCAAACTTTTTTGCCAATAAGCTGCTTAAGCAATAAAACATTGACTGACAGAATGTTTTTGAGAAACTTAGAATTACGAAGTTCTAGACAGACCATTAATACAGCTTTTCACTTTTGTATTTCGCCCCTTGAAGCTGCAATACTCGTTATCTGGTGTCTATACATGGCTAAATGCGCTATAAAGCATATTATTCGTTTATCGTTAGCGTTGTATTTCTTTTCAGATCAGAACATCTTAGTTAATATTATTATACGTGCATATTGTGAATACTTATTTTCTTTATTTAGTGTTGATTCACTGACAGTTGTAATTATTGTAAATTAATTATTTTTGTCTCATTCATATGATCTATTCGCATACTTTTTATTTAACTTATCGTATTAGAATATCAGAAATTTATACCGTTCAAAGGACATGAGGATAAAATACCTGTCAGCATTGATGATGTGCCAGAGACAATTCACAATTCATCCAATACAAAATTTCACGATGAAACATCGTTCAATGAGCTAAATGAAAAAATAAGTAATTTAACTGGTGCTACAGAATCTGGTCTCGTCAGTGCTATTTCTCAAATATCTGAAGTTCAAAAACGAATTGAAGACACATTGAATACACTAAGTCTAGTCACCACAAATAATCACGTTGACAAAGATATCCGTGACAAAAAATGTGCTGTTGTTCATCCTGTAGAAGATAAAAATGACGAAGTTGAAAATAAGGATACAATTGATAATGAGTCTGTGAGTTTACAATCAACTACTCCAGAACCAGCTGATTCTAAGAAGAAGCGGAAGAAAAAACCAAAGAAGAAACAATCGGATTAGAATTTTATTCTATTGTGATGCTCAGTTAATATTGCATATTAATGATTTGTTGTATTGACTCACACTTGCATATGAATATAAATTTTGACTGTGGTGTTATTTAAACATGAAAATTACATTAATAGTCGGTTCCATGGTTTGCGCAAGGTATTTTCAGTCATATATGTCAGTTAGCCACGTTTGTCATTGCGTTAAAGTTTTAAATTAGATTTCTGTTATCAAGATATTTATGCATATATTACTTCTGAAGTCTGGAAAAATTAGGATCCATTTTTTTACGTTATAATTGAAGCACAGATTGAATTTTGACTAGACAAGCATGACATTGATCACCACCCAGTGATCAATCAATTGTGATTGCAGCGTCTTTCCTACGTCCAGTAAGACGCAGGCAAATACGCGCTCGCACTAGAGCATGATCTGAATCTAAGCATGTGCTCCAGAATGAGCGACAGTCTTCTATCGAGCCCCTCCATCGGTGGCTGATAGCGATGTGATCTATTTGGGTCCAACATTGGGACGAACTAGGGGGTCACCATGTTAAAAGATGTTTTTCTTCATGCTTAAAGTTAGTATTTGCAAGGAACAGGCAGTTATCTGAGCTTATCTGTTCTTTGAGCCATGATGCTATAAGATCCACCCAGGTGTTTTTCCCTATCGCTTAGTTTACCTACTTGAGAATTACAGTCACCAGCCATTGTTAGTATATCAGAGCGCCTGTCTTTTCGGAGAAGGTCGGAAAGCTTTCTGTAAAACTCATCTTTTACATCATCTGAGCTGAAGTCAGTGGAGAGTAGGCAGAGACGACGAGTGTCCCTATCTTTCCGAGTCCTTATTTTTCCGTTTAGTCGGACAGCGCACAAACGACTGTTTACTGGGATCCAGTCTAAGAGAGCTAGTTCTGCCCTAGGACTCAATGCTATACCTACGCCGGCGAGTCCACGAGAAGCAGCATTTGGGCTTTCAGATACACGAAGTGTCAATCGAGTTGGTTCTTTGTCTTGACATGGTGATGTTAAGTGAACGACGCTACTCGGATCCTGTATGCGTGTTTCGGAGACGCAGCACACATTGATGGCGCGAGATTCTGAAGTCCTAGCTAAGGAAGCCTGCTGTCCTATTTGGCACAGTGTTCGGACGTTATAAGCTCCAACATGAAGTTTGTAGCGTGGTTTCAGGAGACCAGGAATAGCGTTTCGCGTACTCGAATCGTTTGCCCTAGCGATGCGAGGTGATAAAGAGATGTGAGAAGAGTTAGTCGTGGAGATAAGATGTTTATTTGGAGGTGTAGGAAGGATTTGAGTGTGACTGACTTGGTCTCGTGTGTTGTTACGGGTATGAGGGCATGTCACTTCCCGGCTGCCCACACCGTGGAAGGGTATTTCTTGAGGAACCTGAAAGGGAAGTTGGATTAATGTTGACCTTAACGATCTGGGAGCGTGACTGCAGAGCCCAAGGGACAACTGCTTGAGGCCGGTCGCGCACGGCCTTTTTGTGGAAGGTTTTTGGCGTGTTAGCTCCGTTCTTCAAAGGGCTTTACCGCCGGAGACGGAAATCCGTGAGGTGTGACATTTTCAGGGTCAATCATTTCTAACCACTTCCTTCCTTGTGAGAAGGCAGCATCGCTGTCATGCTGGTTGTCCGGGGGAAACACCTTACTGCTGTCACACCTCTCTACAGTCAGCAGTACGACTTCGCCCTCAGACCTTGAGTTGCTGCTTTTAGTCTTACCGTTCACCAATCGACCTGCCTGGTATGGTAGAACCTACAGGAACATATGTTCCAGCCAATATAGCTCGGTTGGGTCATCACGATAGGCAAGCCCGACCACCGCGTCAAGGTAGCAGCTGCGGTCGGGATAATCGCAGAAAGACATCTTCAAAGCCATTATCAAAATAAACCATCAGTTACTTAGTATTTCTTTCTGTTTCTACACCGGTTTAGAATTTTTTCAATTCCTTTCAGGTTTTAGTTGATTTTTTTTTATTGTAAATTTCTGAGATTGAGTCCCCGAATATTTTGAAAACAGACTGATAGAATTGACTGAAATCTCTAAAAATTCCCATAGCTCAACTTGCATATGCACAAAAGCCACATAACCTATAGCTATTGCGTACAATAATCAGTAAGTGACGAGTGACCTATGTCATTTCATCCAATATTTAGCCCTGATCAATTTCAACATTCGACTCTGGGTCGCGAGGGGTAGGCTAGGTATCTGTGAAGTTTTGGTTCGTCTGCTTCTCAGTGTTCAACATGTCTGGAATATTTAGGATTTTTCCTTTTGTTTGATGAATAACTGCCACATATAAGGGTATAATTTTCATTTCAAACTCTAGTTTTCAGTTTATTGGCTTTTTTCATTCAGTACGTTGGGATGTACTACAATGACGTGTTCAAAAACGACAAGCGGGTAGCTTTAGTAGATTAAGATGATGTTCCTAGTGGAAATCGCACTTACATGCCGCGCTGGCACTAAGTGAATGAAAACAATGCTAGTTTTTTTTCCATTTTTATTGAACATTAAATGAAGGATGATTATCTTCATACCAATCACATACACTATAATTTGCTAGACACTATAATTGATTTTGTCGGTTACTAGATAGTAAGGGGCTATACGAAGAAAGTTTCAGGACTAGGTTATGTGTTAACTAGTAGTTTGGTGAGGAATTATACTCCCGTGGAGGTTGGAACCATTTTTTGAAATGCCATAACTGAGCTAATGCGTTATGGAATTAACTTATAGATATTGTTTTTTATATTGTGTTTACCCAGAAACAATATCATTACATATGTACTCCTCCATCTTCCCAAATGGTTAATTTCTTTAGAATGTGTCATTACTAATAAGTAGCGGATATAGGTTTCATTGGTGAGACTATAATTTATGGACGACCTTTGAGCTAAGTTAGACTGACCTTGAGTGTCCACCTAACATTTAGGACCAAATTCGGGTTCTAAATGTGTGTGAGAAATTAGAATTATTTTGATAGAACAATAAGACGGAGTTGATCTGAAAAATGTGATGTGTTTGCGCTATACATTTCGAACAAGTATATGTGTGACCAAACTCCGTCTTCTCATTGTTCTATCAAAATTTATAAAAGGGACTAATTGCTTTAAATTAGAATTATGTTTTACAGTTGATGATTAACGTTAGGAATTAGATTTCGGGTTTTTATCACGAACTGACATCAGCTATAATGCTAAAACTATTTAACCAAATTGGATGAGTGAATTTCGCGCCAACATCCGAGGCCTATTATCTTATACCTTACTGGTTTGTCCATAAATTATAGTCTCGCCGTTTCATTCCTCCTATTTTTCTTTCTGCATGCCTCTAGTAGGATGAATATAAGTTATACACGGTTTTTGTACTAGAAGCTTTATAGATATACATAAAAAGCGAACTTGGGAGTAATATAACAGATGAAAAAAGTAAGTTTCGTGACAATAAAATTCTTTACATATCAAGAACTGAATTCATTTATTTATTTGATCATATAAATACTGGTACAAGGGGGCACCAGATACATATGCACAGATCTCATTTGATTTGTGTGAGGGCTGTGATACTGCTCGGGTGCCCAAACCGAAACAGGTGGTTTTCTTAGGGGGCCACACTCGGAGCCTTCGACCTAAAGGTCTGATCCACAAGGCAGTGGAGCATCGTAAGGGAATGCAGTTTCATGGTAGTCAGTGACCAACGATTGGTTCATACGCCATTTGTTTGTAATCAGGGTTTTTAACTCCCCTAGGTGGACTCTCCGTTTCCACCGACCTGGTTAAAGCGCCGAACACTCACTTTTCGTCCTCTCAATTCCGTAAACAACCCCTCCACGAGAAGGCAGTAAGACTTCCCTGGCAGATGTCAACATAATTGCTTTTGATCTGCTTTTGTGAACTAAACAATATAATAAATACTCAAACCAGTTATAATGAAATTGTATTATAGCATTGAACCAACATGAGTTTATCATGTTGACACGCCTGATGTTTAAGTTGGGCACGTTTGAGAAAAGTTGTGGATGATACAAGCAGAGTATTTTGGCAAATCAATTTCAGTCATACCTGATTAAATCATCTAACTTAACGTTTACATCAAATGTATACACATTTTTAAGTAGTCTTGTTTCGGTTTTATTTTTCAAGAAGGAAATTAAGTGTTTTCAGGACAGTATGATCTTAGTGATCTGTCGCTCCTGATTTGAATTTACATGAAAAACTAACGCGATATCTAGCGTAGCTGTTTAAAACGTTCACGTTACCCAGTTTAAATATACCATATTAAGTTGTTTTCGATTAAAAAATAGTAGGAAAGTTATTTCACCATAATTTAGGGTATCTATGCCCTGTGAATTCACAATTTACTTCAAAACTCAATAGCAATGTGGCCTGAGGTTTGATTCTAGTGAGCAAATAGATGCATATCTTAGGATTCCTCCTCTTCTTTCGTGCCGGTTACTATTAATTCGATGCAATCGCTTGTTGAGGAATTCATATTCTCGTTAAGCAGTCGAGTAGTTTTCTTTAACTTCATTTTCTTAAGCAACTGGAAATCGGCTTCAATATGTGGAGATTTTTTTAAGTTCGACATTATTCATATCATATTTCTTTTGATGACAAAACGGAGCTGAAATTTTAATGAACTCTAACAAATAAAATTTTAACTGGTATTTCTCATAGGCATAATTTTGTGTCAATTTGACTACAGTAAGCGTGAATAATATTTCATTAAATATAGTGATCCTCGATTTATTTTAGTTTTAATTACCCTTATGTCAACAGATTCAATTAGACTGTTTAATAAGTAGTATTTACGCATAAAAAAATAAAGTTTCACTGTTATCTTCTTTGTACGTTATTGTAATCAGACATCATTTCGCTAGATTTTTGAAATATATTTCTAAACATTTAATAATTAAGAATAAAAATGAAAATATAATAGGCAATACACAACACAACCACTAACTGGGTTATTGGACATTGAATATATACAATATATTATGTTTTCATAATAATTTTCTATGTTTAACTCCTATTAGAAATCATGATAATAATAATATACATATATAGTGTCACAGTTAATAGTTGTAGAATTG